AAATGCACAACATTTATGCTAAAAACAAAGTATTTTAGGAAGAAATGCATTTCAAATGAAATGTTAATGATGCCAAAAAAAAAAAAAGAAAGAAAGAAAGAAAGAAAATCAAATATGCTATCTTGTAAATGCTTGAATATCAAGAATCAATAATGGCAAAATACATTAAGCCCAACAATACTGGGTACTTTTCAAGAATTATATTTAAAAAGGTATTAAGAATACTGAAGGAATCAAAATATGTCCTTAAAACTGGCAAAGTTTTTCTTTTTTTTAAGTTTGAGGGCCTATCCACAATATCTTACCTTTTCTTCCATTTATTTTTCCTGTAAAAATTTCTGGATGCCCATTCTTAACATTCTCTAAATACTGTAGCTTAGATAATCCTACTTCATTTTTTAGAGTGCCTTTAAACCTTACAACACATCAGTAAGTGCCACAAATTAACAACCTAATTTTGGTATCTATATAAATATGCACACAATATGAAAACTAAATCTTCATTTTATAAAGAAATTGTAACATGTAACAATTTAGAGCAGGGGGAAAAAATAGTCTTTTTTCCAATTAAGGCATTCAATTGCCCAAACTACAAATGGCCCCAGTGGAACTAACACAAATGTGTAGCAGTAATAAGACTTTGAGAAGCATCCAGTTAGGATATGCATCTGAACATTAGCAGAACATTCAAGTAAGCATAAAAGCCTTGGTAAAATTCTCTAAAACTTAATATATAATTATTGAAATATATAAATTTAATACTTAGGTTAGCCCAAAAGACTTTTGACCAGCACCTCTGGGAGGGAACTTCTTTTCCTAATATCATAGTTCCCAAACTCAAGACATCATATAATCAAGATTTTCTATACCTACATTTGCACTAGTATCTAAATTACTAGGAGAAATCTTTTTTGCTACATTATATTTAATTTTACAAACTTTGCCCTAATACATATATGCCGGCATGCTAAGAAACCATCAAGTTTTCCTTCTAAATCCCCCTACCATGAAATTTACAACTGTAAAAATGAATTGAAAAACAAACAACTTGAAACTGTGGGGAACTGTGGGCAAAACCAGAAAGGTGGTATATGGAAGAAGGAAGAAGTGTGAATAGGTCCTACAAGATTTTACAATCATTTTGCCAAGATAGACTTTCAATATTATGAATAATTACTTGATGTCAGGTTGTGTAGACCTATAGTTCTCTTAAAAACAAAGTTTTGATTCTCAATATTGCATTTTTATAAATGAACAAAAGGATTCGTATCTAAAATATTTTAGTAGCATAACTACTACCTTCAGACTAAATTCATTTCCTAAGTACTCTAAAAGAGTTCAAATAAAACAAACTTTACGAGATGTTATAATTTATCACAAAAGAAATACTCATTAGCATTTATGAAATTATTAGGATAATAAAATTTTAAAAGCTAAAAACCAAGATTTGCCATTCATATTTAAATATAACATAGAAAAAGTTATGTGGGTAGTATGAATATAAAATTGTTTAGGTGAACATTTCACTTGAAGACACTGTTTCTCCTTCTGAGTAACTAACCATTATAGCTTTTTAACAATGAAACACGTCATTATCTCAAAACTGAAATTCTTTGGCTGGAATGTTTTAGTAACATAAGACACTCCTGTACATGATAATTCTGACGGAACATGGGAGTTGCAAACTAAAAGAGTAAGGAAACACATTTAAAAGTGTTGGATAAAATCTTAAATAAAGTTTTTAAGAATTTATAGCCAATGTATCACTAAAAATGGCATAAATGTAAATTTAAGCTAACTTTATACTATTGCTATTTTTAAATAAAATAATTTGGGGTTCATTATTTTGGCTTTTCAGTTTTGTATTTAGCATAGAAGTACTTTCTATTGTCACTGTAGACATCATGTCAGTTTTAAAACTAAAAAAAAAAAAGCAACAAAATTTATGAGTTCAATTTGTAGGGATTTAGAATTAAGAAATTACAATTTTCTGTTACTATTTTAAAATGAGATTATCTGACTATATAGTTAAAATTCTAATAACATCAAAAAAAGTTTTAAAGAAATCTTTCCATTTTTTATTTTTTAAAAATTACTTGTAAATACGTTTTAAAAGACCAACAAATGCACTTTTAATCTATTATCTTTACACGAAGATTAAAAGAAAAAAAAAGCTTTATGGCTCCAGCACCCAAGGTTGAGAACACAAAAAACTCAATAAATATTTATAGTTTGCAAAAATAGCTAAAGATGTTTGAAAGGTTAAATGAAGAAACATTCTGAAACTAGAACCCACTTCTTTAGCTTTTCTCTCCCAGACTTTCCATTCTATACACTACAGTTGTAGAGATGTCCTCATTTGACTCAGGTGATACTTTTTTCCATACTGTCTCTTTTAAAGCAAGTTCTTGTTGGAGACTTTCATAGTCCAATGGTCCAAAGGAATGCTAGTTGTTCAAGCAACATACATAATTTATTAGTGCACTTGAGTGAAGAAAGGTCCAAGCTATAAAATGTTATTTTTCAATGAATGTTATTAAAATCTGTTAAAATTTTCAATCACCACCATCTGACATTTTTGCTCCATGTTACTCATGTCAACTCCCATTCATGGAAGTTTCTATTCTGTTGGCTTTGCATAATTCTCATGTATTATCAAAAGTTATTTTGATTGGAACTAACAAAAATTTAGTTTGGCCCCAAAGAAAATTTTCTCAGTCTGAATTAAAAATATTTTCACTTACAAGACCTTCATATTATCTTCAAGTCTAATTAAGTAATTTTACTATAAATATTTTACATGTGGGATGCAAAGAAACTGAATAAAAAAAAATCTCAACACAAGTCCCTTTGTCTAGTGAAAAACTATATAGATCAAAAAAGTTAAGTCTTGACTCTTAATACTAGCTCTAAAAAAGGAATATATGTATACAATAGCATGAAGCCAAACACATTGATAAAAAACAAGTAGGACTTTAAGGTTATGAGGAATATTGCATTACATATTCTTTCTAGAAAAAATATTTCATCTACAGTGGCTTATAAAACTTATTAGGCTTCATAAGGTGTTTCACTAATATTATAATCTCTTTCTCATTTACATATCCATCCACAGTAGGTAAAGAAATAAAATAAACTTCAATTCAGGACTATAACTGATAAAGATTAATAACAAAAAAAGCTTTCTTTTTAATTAGATTTATAGCACATAGCACTTTCCAATGTCTTTTTTAACAGAATCAAATCTAAAAATCTTGCTTCAAACAGCAGAAAATAGGAGGAAAACCCTGCCATTAGGCTAACCAGTTCCAATTTAAATAATAAATCAGCAATATTTAATATCTATATACTAGTGAACTAGGATAAAAATGTCACCAATTTGTTTACCCTCATTTGTGGTTAGCAAAGATATAAAGCCACTAACAATTAAGCTTAGATTTTATTTAAACAGGCAAATTTCATTTTCTCTCTCTTAAAAAAACTTACATAATTATCTAAACAGGAATTTTGCTTACCCTTTGATCACCACCTTCTCTTCGAGGATCAAGTTTTTTTGCAAAGTGTCTCAAATTATCATAGTTATGGAAATTACACAGAGAAACAAGATCCTGTAAATAGGTATACAGAACAGATATAAGAAATTGGCTATTCACAGGTTACATTTATTCATATTTTAACAAACTATGTTTATAGCCTCCTGGTTAAAAATCGTCACTGCGTACTAATAAAGCAGCATGATGCATCAAGAAGGGGACTGAAGTCAGAGTAAAATATGGATATAAGTTTTGAGAACACTGCTTACTAACATGACCCTAGGGCTCATCCACTCAAATTGTCTAACTTTCACCTTCTATAAAACAGGGTTTATAATAAGAGGCCACATACAAGAATTCTTCTCTCAAATAACTGTAAAGCACCATAAAAATATAAATAACTATACAATCAATTATAATTTACTTTATATGCACTCCAATATCATTCTCTAGTTTTTATAAAATACAAAAGATTGAAAAATAAATCAGAGTTTTAATTGAGTATAGTGCTTAACATGAACTCCAGAAAGTAATAAATGTAAATAAAACCAGAAGCTGAAATATTAGCAAGAATTGTTTTTATAACAAAATACTGAACTAATCAAGAGTAGTAACACTTTAAAAAAAATTTTATCTTTTTTATTTGCAGTGCGTACTTCCTCAAAAAAAAAAAATTTTAAAGGTAGTCAAAGGATAAATATGTTCAACCAGGCAGATTAAAGGAGATAAAATAAACCACTATTGTATAATTCTTAAAATATGTAGGATTTTAAATTACTTCTCCAACTTTAGTATCTTTGGTTGAGCTTTTGAAAACTGAAAACTAATAATAACCATGAAAATTAAAACATAAGCATCATACAAATGTAATTTCCTATAAGAATGATTAAATGAGAGCTGTCTCGTAGAAGCAACTTGAAGCTCCTCTATGAGTATTTCCATGGCTACCTAGTAACTGGCACACTGGCAGACAGAGTGCCAAGAGTCAATAAACTATGGAAAATGGGTTACAAAAATAGAATTGTTGAATGATTCAACTTATATGATCATTATTTTCTTTAAGAAAATATGCTTACATGACAGAAGTGAATTCCCTTGACACTGTTGCCCATCTTGTCCAGAGGAGGAGACCAGCACATCATGCCCATGACATTGGGAACAACTAAAAGAATGCCCCCAGCAACTCCGGATTTTGCAGGAAGACCAACCTGAAAATAATTCGGTAAAAATGAGCATTCATGTAAACATTTTAAAATAAGAAACATTATGTCCAACAATAGAGACATTAGTTTAGGAATGTGGTATATATCCATACAATAGAATTTCAACATTAAAAGTGTTGTAGATAAATATTTTTCAACATGTTTATAACACAGTAAATAAAAAAGTTATAAAAGAGTTTGGGATAGATTTGAATATAGAAAAATTTTTGAAAGATACACTCTAAGGAATTAAAGTAGTTCCATCTAAACTGTAGGGCTATGGATGCTTTTATTATAATCTTCTTGACTATCTTTCTAATTGTTCTAAAATAAACTTGTATTGTTTTTAAATACAAAAATTTATTTTTCAAAAATATTTCACAACTAGAAAACAAAGAGAATTATATTTTAAAAGACTTTCTATGGCATACTGTCAGAGAAATGTCTGAGGAATGGAGATAAAATGGTAATTAAAATTAATCCTCTTCATTGCTTCTCAGCCTTTTGCCTAAAAATCAAGTGTAAATTAATCCTCTTCAAAAAATTTAAGTTTATGTTATGCAGAATTTGACAATTATGATAAAAACAAAAATTAATGTCCTTAAGGCAGTGTTCATTAACTGTTTACTAACATTCAGATATTAAGTACCTCTTTACAGAAGTACACCAATAAAATACTCTTGCAGAAAACTAAACAAGCAAACAAAAAACACCTGAATCAGATCTACCAATTTACAAGAGATGCAAGGGACAATGAGACATACGTAATCAGCAAAACTTAAGACTGTAGGAAACCATACAGGATAAATGATTCAGTTTTTTCAACCAAAAATAACAAGAAAATAAGAGAGAAGTCATGAGAAGACCTACAGATTAAAAGAAACAGGGAGACACAACCAATTACAATGTATGGTCCTTATATGTACACCCAGTCAAACAAGCTGTAAAGTAATATAGTAATAATTTATAAGATAATCCAGTCACTCTGAACATTGACTAAATATTTTAATGATATTAAATTTAATGGTGATATTAAATTAATGATGATATTAAAGTTTTGATATGTAATACTTAAGTTTTTTATATGTAATAATGGTACTGCATGTTTTGTTATGGGTCTTTATCATTTAGAATTACATACTGTAATATAACAAGGGTGGGGGAAATAGGTGTACATACAGATGAAACAAGATTGGTCATGTATTCACAATTATTGAAGCTGAGTGATGGGTACATTAAATGCATCTATTTTTACGTTTGAAAATTTCCAAGATAAAAAAATTTTTAGGATATTATGACTTGACATGAGCAGAATGAAATAAGAAAAGTCTATACATTGCACAAGTGGCAAATGCACAACACAGCTTAAAGAAATACACTTTTATTAAGTTTTAACTTTAATATACTTTAAGTCCTTTAAAACAAGGGTCCCCAACCTATGGTGAGTTGTATAATTATTTCATTATATATTACAATGTAATAATAATAGAAATATAGTACACAATAAATATAATGCACTTATATCATCCCAAAACCATCCTCCTCCATCCCCCATCCCCATCTGTGGAAAAACTGTCTTCCATGAAAACAGTCCCTGGTGCCAACAAAAAGGTTGGGAACTGCTGCTTTAGAACATCTATGGCTGTAACCAAAGAATAAACATTACGTCTTTCTGAACTTACGGAATTCTTGAGGTACATAATCATCACAATGTTAAACATTAACTGAAAGCAAAGTCTATACTAATCTTGTACATTGGAATGCCTTAAAAGCAAAAGTGATGAAGTCCTATAAACTAAACTTCCAAGTTCTTAAGAACATCTGGTAGACTGTTTAACTCTATTCCTTACTAATTCCGTAACAAATTAACCTTGAAAACAAGCCTCTCTCTCAAAAATTAATGTACAGCTGTGGAAGCAAAGTTTAAAGAGCATTTTTAAAAGAACCAGTTCAGACTAGTTTCTTGCCCTACAAAATTAAGATTAAACAATTACTTACATGGAAAGCAAACTGCCCTGAGAAATCATACATGCCACAGGAATGCATCAAACTCAGTGTATTTCGAACTGCTTCAGGGCTCAGCACTCTTTCACCAGTAATTGGGCAGAAACCACCATTAGCCAGTGTGGCAGCCATCACACTGGCTGATTCACAAGTCACTTCAATGGAGCATAGCTAAAACGAATAAAAAAACCAGAATTCTAAAAAATTTAGGCTCATATTATTTTTAGTATGACAGCTGACTTCTAAGACAATCTATTTTATTTGGCATTTCATACATATCTGAAATATTTCTTCCAAAGAGATAATTTTAGTGTGACTTGACGACACACCAAAGATTTTTTGTTGTTGTTGTTGTTGAGATAGGGTTTCTCTCTGTCACCACCACTAGAGTGCAGTGGCATCATCATAGCTCACTGTTGGCTCAAGCGATCCTCCTGCCTCAGCCTCCTGAGTAGCTGGGACTACAGGTCTGCGCCACCACACTTGGCTAATTTTTCTTGTTTTTGTAGAGATGGGTCTTGTTCTTGCTCAGGCTGGTCTCAAACTCCTGACTTCAAGCAATTCTCCCACCTCAGCCTCACAAAGTGCTAGGATTATAGGCATGAGCCACCTCACCCAGCCCCCAAAGATTTTAAATGACCAAAGTTCTAGCTCTTTCAGGGTTTATCCTAATTTTCCCAAAGTTATTCAGTCTTTTAATGGCAGATGTAAGCTAAAGCACTATGATCTGTTATCGCTCCATGTGATGTTCAAATTTGCTTAAATACTAATACTTTCTGTGGGATACACGAGCATAATTATTTTTAATGCAACAGAAAAAAATGAGCCATGATATATTTTTAAGATAAAGTGCCACATATCAGCATTATGATAGATAGCATCTACATTAGAAATTACCATTTTAGGAAAAAAATGCTGAAATGCCTGACATTTCACTTACATCAAAGCTCAGCATCCCCATTTATATGGTAACATAGAAAGGACAAAGGGGAAGAAAAATATAAGACAATACTTTCTTGTCTTACATTACTTTCTTGTCTTGGTTTAGTTGTGTGAGGCTAAAATGTTGCCTTGTAGACCATTTATTAACACTTATTTGATATTTACTATGGGTGTTGACTATATCATGATGAATGAAACATGGAAAGTTCAGCTACTCTAGGATGAAATTTCTGGATTTAAATATAATCAAAATAATAGTATTTTACCACACCAAACCAAATTTACCCATAAAACAAAAATAATAAATTCTTCCACGTTTTATTTTTAAGTAACAGTGACCAAAACTGGGTGAGAGGAGGGAGAAAGAGAAAGCATGAAGGAGGAGGAGGAGAAGACTGGGTCCTCAACTTGTAAACTTTCCTCAAACTCTAAGATCTACAAGAGGCAAGAAGGGGTTTGGAAATAGCAAGAAAGCAAACTACTAATAACTACAGTGACTCAGAACACTGTGCATGTAACTTTGATTGGACTTGCCCTTTTGTTTATTTATATTAAAATCTCTTCCCTATTTCTCCAGAACTACAGAATCTACTTACTATACTGCTCCAGATAGCAAAGAATTAGGATAAAGTTGATTTAATTATGAAAGGTTTTCTAAAAGAAGATTTAAATTCCAGTGATCACTTCCTAATTTATATTTAATATTAACTGGAATTTTGTTTAACATAAGGTGACATACTCCTAATTTGACAAATGCCAACTTAAGAGTACTCTCCTGATAACTTGATGGCTGTTCAATTACATACAGCCCTTCTCCAAAAAAGTTAGTAAGGCTTTTATGGTTGTCTCTTGATTTTTGCCCTGAAGTATAGAAATTCAAAGAACAGTAGATTAGTAGCATCTAAGCTATGAGGGAATCAAAGATGTATTCCAAAAAAACATTAAACTTACGGAAAAACATTCATATGGACTAGGGAAAAAATAAAGACTATTGGATAAAAGAGAAAAAAATTATACTAAATTTCATGTAACACTTTATAGTGTCACAGGAATTTCACGCATTATCATCTCGTTATCTTCAATGTAACACAGCAAGTTAGGTCAGACATATACTACAGACAATAAAACCAGAGATTAGTAACTAAAATTAGGTCACATGGCTAGTAAGTGGGCAGGCTAGATTTTGAATTTCATATTGACAGTCTGGATTCCCAACTCATTTTCCACATTGAGCAGATGACCAACTGTGACCTGGACTTCTATCAAAATCTACTTCATTATCAACGTCCCTTATATATTCTCTAAGATTACTGAAAGGTTACAATTAAAGCACCTTCAAAAGTAAAGACAGGCAAATGTGAGGTAAACTAGAAATTAACAATAACGTAGCCTACCATACAGCTTCACATTATAGCCCTATCAGTGGCACCAATGGTGTTAAATCTGTAATAATAAATTGAACTGAAAATGTGAAGGGAGGGGAGGGATCGCCAGGAAGGCTATCCTAAACTGAGTTCTATACCTCAGCAGAGTATGTCCATAGTCCCTCCACCCCGATCCCTCCTCCTGAATATTGAGAGCTACTCTAACTTAGAAGAAAACCAATGATGTGAAGCTGGAGATGTACTAAACAAACAATTATTCTCCTAGCACCAGTTAAGCCAGGATAGAGTAGTAACAAAGAAATTACAAAAGATATCAAATTGGCTGAGAAACTGACACTTTAAAATGCTGATTATGAGCCATCTGATAAAAAAACCAAACAGTTTCTCCCAAACAAAATTTAAAAGATAAGAAAACAGAGCTCAGTCTATAATTAGGAGAAGCCAATTTCTGGGACTGCACATTATTTTTGACACTACTTAAATATGATGTTTTCAGAACATTTTTTCCTTATTACATTTTGAGGCATGGCTTTTTAGGAGACATGGACATGAAGCTACTTTTCATGAAGACACTGTTTAAAAGTCAACAAAAAATATATTTTTTTGTGATCTAGAACCAAGATTTAAGAGACATCTGTATTTTGCAAAATGTGACGCACCCATTTATACACACAGTTTATACAATTAAATTACCTGGAAATAGAAGTCTAATATACCAACCATGTCTGTGCCTTCTGGAAAACACTGAAAAAAATAGAAAGGCATTAAAAATATAGGCACACAGGAAAAAAAATATGAAATATGTGAAGAAATATGTGAAGGTTAAATTTACACAAATGTTTCATTTTAATTGAGAATGAAATAGTATATAACCTCTAAATGAGTATAAACATGAAACAAAGAATAAAGCAAAATTACATCACATCATATAATTTTCTAGATACTAGTTTAACTGGCAATGATAAACTGATTAATAATTTATAAATTATATTGGACCAGCCACTTAAAATTAAAAAAAAAAAAATCAA